CTCAATTTACACCCTCCGTGGTCAGAAAGGAAGAGGAAGAAGAACACTTATTATAGCTGCCCCCTACTCTGAGCTAATGTGATCAAATAATGGACGACCTGCTGCCTGTGTCCATCACACATGATCTCTGTAACAAGCTACAACGTGAATTAAGACAGCACCGAAACAAATTACAGCAACTTCAAGTTTGAGACACAGCTCCGTGAATGTGAGTGATGACAGCAACTCAGTGAATATGCATGATGTCATCATCAGTGATGATGTCACCAATTTACCCGACACGTTCAAACTGAAACGCACATCTGTTTGAGTGTGTATGTGTATGTGTGTGTGTGTGTGTGTGTGTGTGTGTGGTTTGCAGACCTGCAGTGATTTCTCATGAACAGCAGAGGGCGCTGACGTCTCACCTCCATCAGCTCCAGCAGGACAGGAAACAGCTGATGAGGAGCTGAGGACATGACACATCTCATGTGATGCTCAGGGACGGAGACAACATGGAGGACAGACGTTGAGGGGAGGCTGTGATTGGCTACAGTCGCTCTGATGTAAAGAACAGACAGTTATGATTAGTAAGAACAATAGTATGAAACAAGTCTGTAAATATAAAGTATTAAAATAAAACATACCAAAATAACATGTTTGTTTACACGTGTCACTTTTGCACCTTTTGTTTTGTGGTCGTCATGGTGACCTGTCACCTGCTGACGGATGGGTTTTGGACCAGTATGCAGATCCCTTGCTGGGACTCTGCTCCTCCAACACAAACACTGAAACATCAAACACTTCATTTCCTGCTGCTGATTCTTAACCACCACTTTGTCCTCCTGAGACCTGCGTCCTCATGTCCTCATGTCCTCGTGTCCTCATGTCCTCGTGTCCTCATGTCCTCGTGTCCTCGTGTCCTCATGTCCTCGTGTCCTCGTGTCCTCATGTCCTCATGGCTTTACTGCACCGTTTACTCCACTCTGCCTCACTCAGTCCTGTTGTCCTCGATCGTGGACACTTTTTGTCCCACCTGCTGGTAATAAGACCACCTTGCACTATTCATGTAAAAACAAGATGGCCGCCATCTCTGCAGAGTCAGTCTGCAGCTGATCCTGAGACAGACGTGGACAAAACCTGATCACGTTATGGTTCAAACTTTATTTATGATTAATGATGTTTGCAGTTTGATCTGGCAACAAAGTTGACCAATTTTATTGACAGTTACAAGATCACATGCTGTTAATGAGGACGTGTTCGTCTGAGGACGTTTTTATCAAGTCCTCTGCTACTTTCATGTTTTGATCTGGGAGTTATTATTATTATTATTATTATTATTATTATTATTGTTATTATTATTATTATTTTTTGTTTGGTTTTTTCTCACACTTCAGAAACTTGTTGTTGTGATTTGAGCCATTAGTAGTTTTCTTTGTTTGTTTATTGTTTTGCTGTTTTTGCCTTTGATTTTTAATGATATGTTTGTTTTACACAATGACGTCATGTTTGCTTGTGTGGACCCCAGGAGGAGTCGATGCTACTGTGGTAGTGACTGATGGGAATCCAAATAAATAAATAAATAAATAATAATTTCAGTGTCCCCCCTGAAATCTGCACCTGTGCATTAATACAACAGCAGATTGTTGCTGGTGTCATAAATCAGCCCTCTGTGTCAGGTTATAATAATTGTTTGTATATGTCTAATTATTATTGTTGATTGTTGTTGATTGTTTTTCTGATCAGTGTGTCAGACGGGGCGTCCAGAGCTCCTGCAGATTTGAGTCTGAGAGGTTGTAAAATAATTTATAAAGAAGGAAAGAATAAGAAAAAGAAACAACACGTGACTTGTCTCTGATCGTTTCTTTTTCAGGCCTGTAAAATATTTTAATGAGATGATGTCTCAGTGGCTCAGTGGGCGGAGCAGGCCCATGTGCAGGGGTGGTGTCCCTGCTGCAGCGGCCGTGGGTTTGATTCTAGCTGTGGCCCCCGCTGCATGTCGTCCTCTCTCCTACACTTTGAAAAAACAAAATCTTAAACAGAAAAAATTGGTGAAATGTGACGGCCTCATTAATCCCAACGTGTTTGAACAGCTGGCCTTGCAGACACACAACACACAACACACAACACAGAGTAACATGTGGACACATATATGAATCAGTAATAAGAACATACTGAGGAATAAAAAAAATCTATAAACAACAAACGTTAATTGACAGATTATCATGAAAGAGATTTATGATAAACAATCAAAACAGAAATGTGTAGAGACTTTAACAGACGAACAGCGAGACAACAAACGATCTTTAACATCAGTTCGTTTACAAACAGGTCAAACGTAACGACGACAACACGGCGAGCACAAGAATCTAAAACACACGTGTCTTTGTGAACATGTCAGGAGGAGGTGAAAGCCTCTCCTCTTGAATCTAACTCATTGTTCACGACAGTGTAACCATGGTGATATACAGGTTATTATGGTCTGTAATAGACATGGACATTCAGCAGGAGAAAAGAGAAACTCCTCCACAGGAGGCGCCAGAGAGTCAGAGAGGAGGCGGAGCTGCTGCAGGAGGTGAAAACTAGTCTTACTGTAGTTTGACCCGCAGTTTGCGTCACCAGCCTCCTTCTCCTTCTCATATTTTTAGATTCAGTGAGACTTTCTCTTCCACAGGACATCACTGTCTCTGATGTCCATCCAAAATAAATGCCCATAAATACACTTAGAAATCCTAAAAACAGACGCTGCAGAACCTGCCTGACAATCCCTGATTTTAGGTTCACAGAGAACAACATGACGTCATTGCAGACACGAGCTGCTCACACGTCATTCGGCTCAGTGTCCGTGGACACACTTTGACCACATAGAGACTAAACGACGGGTAAAGACTTCATGTCCCCTGCATGAGACTGATCAGTGTGGAGGGGCTTTAGGACCATGAGGAGAAAATCTCTGCAGCCACACACACACACACACACACACACACACACACACACACACCTCCTCTGTATTCAGTACACATGCCTCCTCCTCCTCCTCTTCATCTCTTCTCTGCAGGAGAACCATCCTCCGGTCAGACGGACACCTGCCTGCCCGCCTGTCGCTCCTCGCTCTTGGCTCCTTCTCTCTCGGAGCACCGGACCATCACAGCGGGACTCCGGGCTCCTGTACGCCCCTCAGAGCGCTCGGAGGGCGGCAAGAGGACAGAGGAGGGGTCGGTGTGAAGCCTGGATGCAGGGTCTCATGTCTCACCTTGGGAGGTGAGTATGCGCGCGCGTGCGGACGTGTATGCGTGTGTGTTCTGTCCTCTCGTGATCACACGACATGTTTAGCATCGCCGGGGTGGCGATGACGTCAGAGCCGGTGACAGTGTCGGTATTCAGCAGAGCCACGATGAGATTTAAAGACATCTGTGTTTATGCATGCGGCCTGTAAACATCCGTGCGCGCGCCCGCGTGTGTGTATGAGCGTGCGCGTGCTCCAGGCAGCTGCAGGTCTATGTGATGAGCTCAACACAAACACACAGTAAATATCACATACCATGACGTCATATACACAGAACCACAGGACAGTGACGTCGCCGTCACCATGACTGAGTGATCACACACAGCACTGTGACTGTGACTGTGTGCAGGGTGGAGCTGCATGTTGGTGATGGAGCTGCATGTTGGTGATGGAGCAGCATGTTGGTGATGGAGCTGCATGTTGGTGATGGAGCTGCATGTTGGTGATGGAGCTGCATGTTGGTGATGGAGCAGCATGTTGGTGATGGAGCTGCATGTTGGTGATGGAGCTGCATGTTGGTGATGGAGCAGCATGTTGGTGATGGAGCTGCATGTTGGTGATGGAGCTGCATGTTGGTGATGGAGCTGCATGTTGGTGATGGAGCTGCATGTTGGTGATGGAGCTGCATGTTGGTGATGGAGCTGCATGTTGGTGATGGAGCTGCATGTTGGTGATGGAGCTGCATGTTGGTGATGGAGCTGCATGTTGGTGATGGAGCTGCATGTTGGTGATGGAGCTGCATGTTGGTGATGGAGCTGCATGTTGGTGATGGAGCTGCATGTTGGTGATGGAGCTGCATGTTGGTGATGGAGCTGCATGTTGGTGATGGAGCTGCATGTTGGTGATGGAGCTGCATGTTGGTGATGGAGCTGCATGTTGGTGATGGAGCTGCATGTTGGTGATGGAGCTGCATGTTGGTGATGGAGCTGCATGTTGGTGATGGAGCTGCATGTTGGTGATGGAGCTGCATGTTGGTGATGGAGCTGCATGTTGGTGATGGAGCTGCATGTTGGTGATGGAGCTGCATGTTGGTGATGGAGCTGCATGTTGGTGATGGAGCTGCATGTTGGTGATGGAGCTGCATGTTGGTGATGGAGCTGCATGTTGGTGATGGAGCTGCATGTTGGTGATGGAGCTGCATGTTGGTGATGGAGCTGCATGTTGGTGATGGAGCTGCATGTTGGTGATGGAGCTGCATGTTGGTGATGGAGCTGCATGTTGGTGATGGAGCTGCATGTTGGTGATGGAGCTGCATGTTGGTGATGGAGCTGCATGTTGGTGATGGAGCTGCATGTTGGTGATGGAGCTGCATGTTGGTGATGGAGCTGCATGTTGGTGATGGAGCTGCATGTTGGTGATGGAGCTGCATGTTGGTGATGGAGCTGCATGTTGGTGATGGAGCTGCATGTTGGTGATGGAGCTGCATGTTGGTGATGGAGCTGCATGTTGGTGATGGAGCTGCATGTTGGTGATGGAGCTGCATGTTGGTGATGGAGCTGCATGTTGGTGATGGAGCTGCATGTTGGTGATGGAGCTGCATGTTGGTGATGGAGCTGCATGTTGGTGATGGAGCTGCATGTTGGTGATGGAGCTGCATGTTGGTGATGGAGCTGCATGTTGGTGATGGAGCTGCATGTTGGTGATGGAGCAGCATGTTGGTGATGGAGCAGCATGTTGGTGATGGAGCAGCATGTTGGTGATGGAGCTGCATGTTGGTGATGGAGCAGCATGTTGGTGATGGAGCTACATGTTGGTGATGGAGCTGTATGTTGGTGATGGAGCTGCATGTTGGTGATGGAGCAGCAGGTGGAGACACTTTGACTTCATACAGTTTGTCCCCAGCTGGACCTCAGTGTGACGTCACAGACACGTGGACGGACACGTCCTTCTGTCAGGACACTTCCTGTGCAGTGCACTGATGTCAGCAGTGTCGTGTCATCTCTGATCACACACTGATGTTTCACCGTCTTCTTCTTCGTCTCCTTTTTAAACAGTGAATTACAAACAGACGGAGGAGCGTCATCGGCATCATGTGACGCTGTCTCCGCCCACATGAGAACCAAACCTACGCCTATAAGCTGCTGAAAATGTGCTGCATTAGCAAAGAGCAGGTTAGCTAGCTAACGGATGCTAAATAATATTATGGCCGATATTTACATCCCCCAGGTGGGTCGGAACAAGTGACTCACGTGGTCATTCAGGTCGCAACAAGTGACTCGCGTGGTCGTTCAGGTCACAACAAGTGACTCACGTGGTCATTAGGGTTGGAACAAATGACTCGTGTGGTTGCATTGAGGGGCGGAGCAAAGGATTCATGTGGTCGTCTGGGTCGGAACAAATGACTCGTATCGTCGTTTGGGTTGCGACAAATGACTCGTGTGGTTGCATTGAGGGTCAGAGGACCTGAATTCATGGAGAAAAGAAAACGTGGGTTTTTTTTTCAGTTCGAATGTTTTCTGTTTTTTCAGGAGAGTTCAGCTGCGATGCCTGACCTCTGACCCCTCTGAGAGACACCTTTGAGGAGGAGGAAGAGGAGGAGGAGGAGGAGCAACCAGCAGAGCTCCCAGCAGGGATGGAGGGAGAAGAGGAGGAAGGTCGAGCAGAAGAGACTGAGACCTCCTCCAAACTGGGGAGAGCTTCACCAAGAGGAGGAGGACAAGGAGGAGGAGGAGGAGGAGGAGGAGAAGAAGCTGGAGGTGGAGGAGAAGGTGGAGCTGGAGGTCATGGAGGAGGAGGTGGAGGAGGAGGAGCTGGAGGTGGAGGAGGAGGAGAAGGTGGAGCTGGAGGTCGTGGAGGAGGAGAAGACACCCGCAGACAAAATGGCCTCATCAACACCCACAGACTGGGGGCGGAGCCTCGGGAGGCGCTGCTGTTGGTGTACTCAGCTCCTCAGTATCAGGGTCATGTGGTGGTGAACACTCCGCAGGAGAGGAGCAGCGCAGGAGGGAGAGGGGGAGGAGGAGGTGGGGCTCCTCCTCAGCTCCTCAACCCCAGCGCTCTCCTCCCCCACCAGACGCTGTCAGACCCCCGCCTCAGGCCCGCCCCCGGCCTCCTCCTGTGTCCAGAGAGCGTTCTGCGGGCGTGGGGGGAGGCGGGAGGAGGAGACTGCTGCGAGACCACCTTCATCGAGGGGCTCGGCCCTGACGCCTCCTCCTCAGCTTCTGCTGCCTCCTCCTCCATGAAGGAGGCGCTGCTGTTCGCTGACAGGAAGTTTCTGGACTTCTCTGGAGAGGACGCAAAGATTCACACGCTGTCGTACGACATCGACGACGATGATGAGTTCCAGGAGCTTGAGGTGAAGATCACTTCTGTTTGTTTATTTAGAGTGACTGTGACAACAGGAAGTCATCAGCTTATAGAACAGGAAGTCATCATATATGTATATATACACACACACACACACACACACACGATCGCAGGAACGTCTTAAAGGGATAGTGCACCCAAAAATTAAAATTCAGCCATTATCTACTCACCCTCATGCTGAGGAAGGCTCTTTAGTTTTAGAGTCCTCACATCCCTTGCGGAGATCAACGGGGGAGCGGCTAACACACCTAATGGCAGACGGCGCCCCAGACTAACGTCCAAGAACACAAAATTGAATCCACAAAATATCTCCATACTGCTCATCCGTAGTGATCCAAGTGTGCTGAAGCCCCGACATAAAAAGTTGTTTGGAAAAACGTCATATGAACTCTGTTTTTAGCCTCACTGTAGCCTGTAGCTCTGACTGC